AAACAGATGAGCTGAAAATGCAGCCCTGATATGTTAAGCCCAACAACTCTATAGTCAACAGTGCACCGAAACACTCAAACATTCAATCTCCCAGACTTATGACAGGGTCAGCTTGGTCAAACAGGGCTTCCTATACTTGTTGACTCCAAGCACACAAGGATAAACTCGATGAAACCTGGTGTTTACACCAAGGGAAATGTGCATCAACCTCTCCCAAAGACACGCCAGAGGATCTGGAAACAACAGGTTCACCTTTTGGGACCTGGACCACACATCCAAGGCGAAACCAAAAGGCCAAGGCACGTTCGACCACCAAGGAACCCCCTGAATGCCTAGCTTTTGGCTGGTGTTCAAATCCCAAATCAAACCAAGAACACCCCCCCAAAGGCGTGTCATTGAAGCGACGTCAAAATAAAAATCTCCAAGTGGTGGTTTAAATGGAACCCAGAAAAAGAATGACAACTCTTAAGCATGCTTGGCCACTTTAAGGGACCCAGAAAAATCCCACCGGAAAAATAAATAAGCTCAGGTGATATCCCAAACAGCATTCGATGCTCATTTTAGTGCTCGCACCACCCCGCAGCCCTCGCAGAACCTCGTGGGTGGAACCCTCGTGGAACCTTACCTCAGGGCTGCCGCAGCATATCTAAACTGACACCTCACAGCTTTCAGCTGTTGGGGAAAAAAAATACCGTGGTATATGGTTGGCTTACCCCAATTGCGTGTCAAACCCAATAAGGAGCCCCGGTGATGTACTAAGGTTTGCTGGTACCTACAATGAGTCTCTGTTGAATCTCAGTTGTCCAAGGCCAAGCTTGCGACCTTTTGGTTTTCCCATTTTGGTCCATGTTTAGTCAAAACCCAACAAAAATTGAAGAAGGAAACCAAAAAAGCGGCCGGCCTACCCCATTTGTTCGTCCAACCCAAAGCAACAAACAAAAAAAAGAAGCCGCGGCAGCCCCGCGAGCGCGTCCAGGTCCGATCCGATCGGAGCAATCGGCCGCCTGCGCACCAGGAACCGCAGCGCCAGCAGCGCCTCGCGCCGCACCGCGCTCACCTCGTGGCCCAAGAAGCCGCAGACCGCCTGACGCGGCGGACGTCTCGGCCAACGTGCCGAATGGGCCGGGTGGTGCGGCCATGGCTGGTCCCTTTGTACCCTACAGTCCGAGAAAATGTGGTTTTAGCGGTGGATCAAATAGAATCATGGCTCTCTCTTATATGAGTTACTGTGGTTTTGAGGAAGCTGCTTTGCCTTATTTCCCCCTCCCCCTACCCAAAAAAAGGAAATGAGCAAATAACAATGACAAGAGAACGGAGCTGGGTCCAGCCTCGACAGCCACTGGGTCGCCCTTGTCCGCCAGTTTCCGGAGAGCATTGGTCGCATGCCTGGGGTGTGGGGTCCCATGATCCGGAGCAATGCTGCCATTGCGACAGTGGCGGACCGAAAGCGCGCAATCAAAGCAAAGGTGAGCCACCGATGAACAAACTCGATAAACATTGACAAGATCTAGGAGCCCGAAGCGACTCAGAAGGCCCCCGCCCGTAGGCCAACCTGTTCAAACATGTTGAGACCACCAAACATCCTGGTTCAAACCAGGAAACAACTCCTGGTTGAAACCACCAAAAACCTCCTGAGAATCTGTCTTGAGGCCCAGCGCCCACTCTCTGAAGCTCAGGCCTCCTGTGCCCGAAGACCAGGCCCTTGACCACCGCCCTGATGACCTGACTGTCCCCCCTGGGAGCCATCGAGCTCAAGACGGCCGCCGCCTGGACACATCCCATCATCCATCCGGTGAGGGAATCGTGGTGTGCCCAACCCCATTCCAGCTTGGGCGCCGCTAGTTGTTGTTGTTGTTTTGTGGGTATTTCTCCTGTTTTCTTTTCTTTCGAGAGGCCCTTCAAGCCTGTCTTGGCACTTGGCAAACCAGTCGGCTCAGGCTGTTTGGCCCTTGTTCCGCTACCTGTTGGTTCTGCCATGGCCATCCAAAATGCCACAAGCTGGAGAATGATCCTCATTTGCATTGAACTTGAGACCTGGAAGAAAGAAGGGGGAGATCAATGAAGACATGAATTGCTTTGCAGCAGAAACCCGTTCTAGAGAACACACTGTATTAATGTGTACTAGAGAACACACTGTATTAATGTGTAAATGTATGCATGCATGTATGCCTTCGTGCATGTATTCATGTGTGCAAATATGGATGTATAATATTTTGAATGTATGGATATATGGATGCATGGATGCATGGATGTATGGATGTATGGATGTATGGCTACCTGTAAGGCTACGTAATGCAATGTAGTGCAGTGCAACTTAACGTGCTGTATCCTGATCTACGTCACCTAACATGGCGCAATGCAAGGCAATCAAATGCAATGCAAATGATGATGATGATGATGATGATGATGATGATGATGATGATGATGATGATGATGATGATGATGATGATGATGATGATGATGATGATGATGATGATGATGATGATGATGATGATGATGATGATGATGATGATGATGTATGTGTGCTGCAACTCAATGTGATGCGAAGCAATGCGATGCAATGCAGTGCAGTGCGATGCAATACAATCTGTCTGTCTGCCTGCCTGCCTGCCTGCCTGCCTGCCTGCCTGCCTGCCTGCCTGCCTGTATGTCTCGTCTGTCTTCCGTCTCTGTCCGTCTCTGTCCATCTCTGTCTGGCTCTGTCCGTCTCTGTCTGTCTCTGTCTATCTCTTCGGCTGTCTGGTCTGTATGTATGTGTACATATACATATACATAAATACATGTATCCAGAAAAATATGTGTGTATTCATCGAATATCCATTTGCTTGTTTGGCTTTTTCCCTTGGCTTGGCCTCTGACCCCTACAAAAGGGCAAAATTGCTGCTAGTTGGTGGGGAAAAGGGTTGGTTCGTTTGGTGTCCCTTTCAGCCGATGTGAAAACGGTACATTTATACCATTGGTTTTGACAACCACAGCCAGATGACTCATTCCCTTTTCGCACGTCACAAGCGAATCCCCGGATTCGCCTTGGCCAAGTCCTCTCCCTCTTGCACCAGCTGCATCAAGGCCGAGAGGAGCGGCTGTCGCGTGCTCTGGGCCAGTTCCTCGAGACTTCCAACCCTCCCTTCTCCAGAAAACATCAAAAAGGCTGCCATTGAACTCTGGAAAACTATGAAGTTGAGACTTTGAGACTGTTCCCTCACTCACAGTCACTGCATGCTGGAGGACTTTACACCGCAAGAGTCCTATGAGGAGGGGAGACAAAGGCCTCTACCCCCCGCGGATGGACCCTGCTTAGGGCTTCTTCAAAGGGGTCTGCGAACGCTCTCAAAAAGATAGGGCTCAGTCACGCCAAGGCGCAACCAGGCGAATTACTTACTAGGGGTTCTTTTGGGTAGTTCACCCGAAGTGAGTAAGAAGAAGGGAACTGGAGTCCCCCATGTCCTCATAAATACGTAATCAAGTTTAGGGGAACTACCTTAAGGTTGGGTGACTCTGGACGTGATACACCCAAGGCGAAAGGGAAAAACACCCAGTTTCTGACTTTGCCTTACGTACCCCTCAAATGTCTTAAATTCCCCTCCCCCCCCATCACCCCCACCATCACCCCCATCACCCCCATCACCCCCCCTCGTCTTTTTTCGAGCTTCTGAGGAAGCGGGCAGCAGCCAGCTCAGGGCTTCCACGTCCAGATAGGACTCCCAGCCCAGCACGTGCTCCCTGACCTCTTGGAAGCCCTGCAACGGCCCGCGCGACTGACGGAGGGACCCATGCAGGAAAATGAGGGACAGGGGAAAGCCTCTGGTTCTGGGAAAACCACAAAAAACAGATGGGGACAAAACAGAGATGCTGCCAACATCGCCTGGAAGTCACAAGGAGATATTTTAGACTTAATAAAGGCCAAAATGTGTCATTCGAGAGGAAATCTGACTGCTTCTGTTGAAAATGGGGCGCGGGCTTGGTGATGTGGCAGGCAGCTCGCGAAACTAGACTCTTTGGTGTCCCATTTGACTTGACAAATTTGGTGCCGATCTGACCCCGAACGGAAAGCTTGCCAACTAAGTCCATCCCCGTGGCCCCCTGAGGCTTGGCCAGTCCCGCAGAAGGAAAAACAACTCCAGTCAGGCACCGCTGGTGGACAGGATCAAACAAAAAGAGCGCCGCACACAAGTCCTCAAGAAAATTGGCGAAAGACGTGCAAAAGACTCCCCAAGAACTCAACCCCTTCAAAAGGCGGTCCGTCCAGGAGCAAAAGAAGTGTTGCTGGAGAAAATATTGAGGCGCACCATTTTTGGGGGGCAGGGATTAAGCATGTGCCCGTCCCGTGCTTGCCTTGGGTGGATCCATTGCTGTGGAGCTGTCCAAATCCATCCGGTTTCTGCTAGCGGTCGGTGGTCGACTCGATGCTTGACGCTGGGTGCTGAGGTCTACTTTGTGAAAGACGTTGACGGTGGTAACTTGTCGTAGCCGTGCTAGCGTTGTACGACAATTTAGAAAACATCTGCAGAGCTGCGCTAAAAATATTCCCTTGGACAAAACGCTCCGCTGCCCGCTTTGGGATCCGGACGAAGCTGAAGCCACGCAGCCTTCTAATCCGAAAGGTTGCGGCGCAAAATGTCGACAAATATGCAACAGCCTGGATGCAGACGAACGGACGTGGCCTCAATCAGATTCCTGGCCCATAGATTCGGAGCAGAAAGGAAACGTCCTGTCTTCATGGGCGTTACTCTTAAAGAGTGTGGTTTTTACGAGCGCGGTGGCACAAATGAGAACCCAGCGGGTGAATCGTGATGGGCAACCTCAGGGATCAACTTAAAAAGGGCCTGCCGACTTTGAAGGAGGGTGTTTGGGATTTCACCTCAGGTTTGTAGCACAACATGCCCAGGTGCGGCCACATGTCAAACTTAGGATCCGACACAAGGGATCCAGATCACTTTTGGGGGAGGTGCACCCCCAATTGCCTAGTGTCCTTGCGCCAGGTTCTACTCTGGGGTCGACACGGGCAGCCCGGCTGGAGCAAGCTGGGGAATGTGCCACCTGAGAATTCCAAACACTTGACATGCTGAACATCCTGCGTTTGAGGTGCCCCCCAGAGGTCTCAACCCCAATCCCAGTCAGAGCCAAGCGCCACCGGTTTTCCCTTCGAACGTTTCTGTCTAAATGCGAGATTCTGGACCCTGACGAACACAGTGGGTTGACCAAATCCTGCACCAGTTAGTCAACCCAGGATCGCGTTTTCCCAGTTAGTCAGATGCAACACTGTTGGCAAATGAATTTCTCCCAGTCTTCTGGGCTGTCCTCAGATCCCCCACTAAAAAGTGAAACTTTTAGTGGGTTAAATGGAAATCCCCACTAAACACTAAAAGGCTGCCGTTTGCCCATCTGGCCATCTAACTCAGGCCACGGCCACGGATCCGGCGCTGGACTTCGGGGAGACTGCGGGAACCGGCGTCCCAAAAGCCACTCTCTTTACAAGGGGATCCCTGGTAAATCAGCGGGAGGTGGATTCAAAGGCATCCTTGGGATCCTGGCGAAGTCCCAATGTTTTGCAAGGGGAACAATTCGAACCTGGTTTGCAGCGTTGACCAGGGCTTGTAGGGGGATTGCTTAAGCCACAGCCCTGTGAGATGCTGGCATTGAAGTCAATTGTCGACTTCAATTGAAGAATCCGCAATGTTGTTTAAAATGAGTAAGCAACAAACGTGTAGTTGCAACGGAGTTGCGTCAAGATGGTGAAACCTCTCCATCCTTCAAAAAGAGAGAGAGACGGAGAGAAAGAGAAAGAAAAGAAAAAGAGAAAGAGAAATAGAAAGAGAAATAGAAAGAGAAAGAGAAATAGAAAGAGACACAGAGAGAGAGAGAGAGAGCGAGAGAGCGAGAGAGCGAGCACCTCGGTGGTCCCTGTCCTTGTCCGACCTTGACGAAGGACGCGAAGATGCGGGCGAGCCCACCTGCCAACTTGCGCAAGGCTCATATGACAGCTGCCGGTAGCTTTCGCGCGGAACCCGTGGGTTTCACCCAGGCAACTGGAAATTAGCCCGAAAGCCTACGAACATATGTTGGGTACAATAGATGCCTTTGAATACGGGGGGGCATATTTTGCTTCCGGTTCCCCCCCCACACCCTCCCCAAATCAACCCATCGTGCTGGAGTCGATGGCTCTAAAGAACCGATGGGACTCTGCTTGTTGCTTTGCGCTCCACGAAAGAATCCTTTGCTCGAGATGCTGCTGGAACGACCATTTGTGTCCCCACAAAACCATGGGCAAGCAAACAAGTCATATAGCATAGAAACATAGCTTAGCAAGCAAACCATGTTGAAAGAACGGTGCACGATAAGACCCATCCATGTTCTTGCCCCAAAAGAAAAGACGAATGACCCCCTCGGTTGTCTCCCTGGCCTGGGCACCCACTGGCCCGGTCGGCCAGTCCCACGTGGACGTAGGGCTGTCCTTGCGGCCCTTGGCCAAAGCATGTCGAGGGCACTCTGCTTGCGACGGGTTTCCTTTGAAAGGAACGCCACGCAATCGGAATGTTCCCATATTTAGACACAAACCCACATCAGAAAGCCTGGTGGATAGAAAATCCAGCGCTGCTCGAAACATGTGAAAAGTAAGAGCAAGCTGCCAACAAACTAGGACTCCAGTGGTTTGTTCTAGAGACCCGTCAAAATGGTTGGATTCTTTCGTTTGGAATCCCTCAAGTTGCGCCAAAAAAAGGGTTCTAGAGCTGTGGGTGCAAAACTGTCTCCCTACAATCCCACCATGACAAGTAGCTGGCTCACTAGCATCGGGTCTTATTTCGATGTGGGCGCCCTTCTGCGGGGCTTCCCGTTCTAAGCAAACCGGCAACTCACGTCAGGGCTCCCCCCGTTTGAGGTTGACCCTTGCCTCTGAAAAAGGACACCCGTGATGAACAAAAGCCTGCAGGGATGGATGAAACCCTATGAATACTGGGGTGAACCTACCAACAATGCAGGTGTTTGTTCATCCACAGTATTACCCTCCTGCAGGCCAACATGGACGCTTCCAGAATTTCTTTGGAAGACTGGGTTTCGTTTACAGGGGCCTTCTGGGAGCTTCCGTGTGAGTCTGAGGGAGTGTAATCGACCAGGGGTTTATCAATCCTGAGTTCCCGGGCAACGCTCTTCTCTGCATCGGGCCGCCCGCTCTTGGCAAATCGCACGGCTCCTGGAAAAAAGAACTGAAAAATGCAGTTTCTCCTGAGATGACCTCGTTCAACGTCAACCAACAAAATGGAAAGCTGGAACCCTGTGCACCGGATCTTCGAGTGCTTGTGGGTTGACTCTATGGACTCCACCTTTGGTGATGCAACTAGATACCAACGTGCGCCTCCAAAAAATACTACTTCATTTGGTGAGTCGATCCCATGTTGAAGCCTTTTTGGCAGCTGACACTTCAATGCGTGCACGAAAGGTCACCGATTTTTTTCACAGGGGGCCCGCTAAATGTTTAACAACCCACCAGGTATCGCAGATGTGTAGTTTCTGTTTGACGCCGGTTCCTGACCTGCAAGGAACCCCCAAGAAGGCAGGCTCATCCATCCGGGGTTGCACCCCCGGCCTTTGTGACGGCCTGTGTACGTCAAGCCGGGGCCGCGTCGTTTTGAGGCTGCCCTTCTTGGGTTGGCTTCAAGGGACGCCAAAGAAACACCACCGACTTTGGGGCTGTCCGCCATGTTTGCACACCTCAGCTCCTTGGAGTCAAAACCTTTCAGGACGTCGCGAATCCCTCCGAAACCTCCACGACGGATCTTTTCCCAGGCGCCTCGAACTCGAGTCCACGACTTCGAACGCGAAGCGGCGCCAGGGCTGGGCTTCAGCGCCTGAGCCGGGCTCGAGGGCGCCGTCGGTTTTTTTGGAGGACAGGCTTGGAGTGGGCGAAAAAAGAAACCAAAGCAACCCCCCCCCCTCTCAGGTTGGGACCTCCCCGAACTAGGCTGGACAGGAAGCCAAAGGGAACCCCGAAAGGGAACCCCCCCCCTCTCATGTTGGGGGCTCCAACCAAAGAGACAAAACCAAAGAAAGGCAAACAAATCCTCGCCCAAAACCGCTGGCGCCTCGATGAATTTCTTCTTGTCCACGTGCCGCTGGTCGGAGCTCCCTCGCCCTCCTGATCGGATGGGGTCGGGAGAGTGCCAGAAACATGCCGTGGAAGTGCACAGGCCCCTTTCATCTTGGCTTCACCACGAAACTGATGGCAGATATGGGAGTTTCTTAGAATGGTGCACCCCTTTGGGTTGGTATTTGAAGGGAAACACATGCCGACCCCTATTTTTGACACCCCCCAAGATGTGGTTTGGTCTTTGACTACAGACAGTGACTGGAAAAAGTCAAAAGACGCAAAAGCCACGATGTCACGCTTTAAGAGATACTTCCAAAGGCAGGCTGCGAGGTCTCCACAAGTTGGGCCCCTGGTCCAAAAACAAAGATCGTCTTGTCGGGGCTTGTTTCAGGATTGACCCCAGTGTGCCCATGCATTGATGTCACCAAACAACAGGCAGGCAGGCAGGCCGGGCCGGGCCGGGCCGGGCCAGGCCAGGCCAGGCCAGGCAGGCAGGCAGGCAAGCAGGCAAGAAGGCAGGCAGGCAAGCAAACATGCAAATACAGAGGGACGGACGGACAAACGAACAAGAAAGAAGAAGGAAGAAAGACAGAAAGACAGAAAGACAGAAAGACAGAAAGACAGAAAGAAAGACAGAAAGAAAGACAGAAAGAAAGAAAGAAAGAAAGAAAGAAAGAAAGACAGACAGAAAGAAAGAAATAAATAACAAAAAACAATAAACATAGAAAGAAAGAAAGCAAGCAAGAAAGAAGGAAAGGAAAAAAAAGGAAAAGAAAGCAAAAGAAAGGAAAGGAAAGAAAACGAAAGGAAACGAAAGGAAACGAAAGGAAACAAAAAGGAAACGAAAGGAAACGAAAGGAAAAGAAAGGAAACGAAAGGAAACAAAAAGGAAACGAAAGGAAACGAAAGGAAACAAAAAGGAAACGAAAGGAAAAGAAAGGAAACCAAAGGAAACAAAAAGGAAACGAAAGGAAACGAAAGGAAACGAAAGGAAACGAAAGGAAACGAAAGGAAAAGAAAGGAAAAGAAAGGAAAAGGAAAAGGAAGGAAAAGGAAAAGGAAGGAAAAGGAAGGAAGGAAGGAAGGAAGGAAGGAAGGAAGGAAGGAAGGAAGGAAGGAAGGAAGGAAGGAAGGAAGGAAGGAAGGAAGGAAGGAAGGAAAGGAAGGAAGGAAGGAAGGAAGGAAGGAAGGAAGGAAGGAAGGAAGGAAGGAAGGAAGGAAGGAAGGAAGGAAGGAAGGAAGGAAGGAAGGAAGGAAAGGAAGGAAGGAAGGAAAAGGAAGGAAGGAAAAGGAAGGAAGGAAGGAAGGAAGGAAGGAAAAGGAAGGAAAAGGAAGGAAGGAAAAGGAAGGAAGGAAGGAAGGAAGGAAGGAAGGAAGGAAGGAAGGAAGGAAGGAAGGAAGGAAGGAAGGAAGGAAGGAAGGAAGGAAGGAAGGAAGGAAGGAAGGAACGAAAGGAAGCGAAAGGAAGCGAAAGGAAACGAAAGGAAGCGAAAGGAAACGAAAGGAAACGAAAGGAAAAGAAAGGAAACAAAGAGGAAACGAAAGGAAACGAAAGGAAAAGAAAGGAAACGAAAGGAAACAAAAAGGAAACGAAAGGAAACGAAAGGAAAAGAAAGGAAACGAAAGGAAAAGAAAGGAAAAGAAAGGAAAAGGAAAAGGAAGGAAAAGGAAAAGGAAGGAAAAGGAAGGAAAAGGAAGGAAGGAAGGAAGGAAGGAAGGAAGGAAGGAAGGAAGGAAGGAAGGAAGGAAGGAAGGAAGGAAGGAAGGAAGGAAGGAAGGAAGGAAGGAAGGAAGGAAGGAAGGAAGGAAGGAAGGAAGGGAAGGAAGGAAGGAAGGGAAGGAAGGAAGGAAAGGAAGGAAGCGAAAGGCGAAAGGAAGCGAAAGGAAGCGAAAGGAAACGAAAGGAAACGAAAGGAAAAACGAAAGGAAACAAAAAGGAAACGAAAGGAAACGAAAGGAACAGAAAGGAAACGAAAGGAAACAAAAAGGAAACGAAAGGAAACGAAAGGAAAAGAAAGGAAACGAAAGGAAACAAAAAGGAAACGAAAGGAAACGAAAGGAAAAGAAAGGAAACGAAAGGAAAAGAAAGGAAAAGAAAGGAAAAGGAAAAGGAAGGAAAAGGAAAAGGAAGGAAAAGGAAGGAAGGAAGGAAGGAAGGAAGGAAGGAAGGAAGGAAGGAAGGAAGGAAGGAAGGAAGGAAGGAAGGAAGGAAGGAAGGAAGGAAGGAAGGAAGGAAGGAAGGAAGGAAAGGAAGGAAGGAAGGAAGGAAGGAAGGAAGGAAGGAAAAGGAAGGAAAAAAGGAAGGAAGGAAAAGGAAGGAAGGAAAAGGAAGGAAGGAAAAAGGAAAAGGAAGGAAGGAAGGAAGGAAGGAAGGAAGGAAGGAAAGGAAGGAAGGAAGGAAGGAAGGAAGGAAGGAAGGAAAAAGGAAGGAAGGAAGGAAGGAAGGAAAGGAAGGAAGGAAGGAAGGAAGGAAGGAAGGAAGGAAGGAAGGAAGGAAGGAAGGAAGGAAGGAAGGAAAAGGAAGGAAGGAAAAGGAAGGAAGGAAAAGGAAGGAAGGAAAAGGAAGGAAGGAAAAGGAAGGAAGGAAAAGGAAGGAAGGAAAAGGAAGGAAGGAAAAGGAAGGAAAAGGAAGGAAGGAAGGAAGGAAGGAAGGAAGGAAGGAAGGAAGGAAGGAAGGAAGGAAGGAAGGAAGGAAGGAAGGAAGGAAGGAAGGAAGGAAAAGGAAGGAAGGAAAAGGAAGGAAGGAAGGAAGGAAGGAAGGAAGGAAGGAAGGAAGGAAGGAAGGAAGGAAGGAAGGAAGGAAGGAAGGAAGGAAGGAAGGGAGACAAGCACAGCCATGTCTATCCAATGTTATTTTTTGCCAAAGCTAGTTGGGTAGCAGGCATGCAGCTTCGGCCTGGGCGCGCAGCGCTCTCCAGTGCTTCGGCCATCGCCAAATGCTCCTGGCGTTTTCCCTCTGGATGCGCCGTTTTGTTTCCAAAGGGAAACCACCCATGTTCAGGGTTCATGACGTTGCATTGCTTGTGGACGAACATGGCAGCTGAAGTCTCCAAGTGACAGCCCCTACTACGCATGCCTTTTTCCCCGGACAGTTCGCATTTGCACGAATCCGCCGCCCTCAAGCCAAGGATTTTCTTCAAATGGCATCCTTTTCTTCCGAAAAAGCTGCCAGCTGATGGCGGCGGCTCGCCTGAGCAAATATATTTGACTTGAAGGCCCGGAAAACGGGGCCAACGCCTGCCCTCCTTGACGTTTTTAGTCCCTTCAAGTGGGGTCCCTTCAAGTGGAAAGGGGGGACCCCTAGCTCCATGTTGAGAGGGAGTGTCCGTTTCGGATTCTAGCAGGCGTTGGAAGACGCTCGTTGCGAAAAGCTGCATGCCCGGCCTTCTTTGAGAGACCGAAGGCTGCCAGCGCGCCAATTGCATAGCGCAGCTGTCGCACGCGGCTTGCGAAACGGAGGGGGGCGGGGTGTACCCTTTGGGAATGTCAGCTCTGGCGCTCGGTTTCGAAACCAAGTAAACTGCAGCAAGTCGGTTCCCACTTGGTTCCCATTTAAGCCAATCCAAAAGCGGGCTCCGTTGGAGCAAGGAGACCCCAACAGCATCGGCCACTCATTCCTGGGAACTTCCCCGAAGCCTGCTTGGTCTCGCTATCGGGAAGAATAGTTGGATGCTTCTGACTGTTCCGGTGAGGGACTGACAACCGAGGCCAGGGGGGAAGCTGTCAAGTGATTTGGAGTAGGGTATTATACAGGTTGTTGCCCTAAAACACGTTAGATGAGGCGACTGAGCTTGGAGGCGCATAACAAATAAGTTGCAGACTCCGCAACAGAAGCTGTCACTGCCAAAAAATGGGACATTATATATATATATATATACACACACACATACATTTGGGCCCGAGTTCTGCTGGGATGTGTACACTTATACAGTACTAGTCTATGCAACCACGGACAACCATCAACGAAAAGACGTGCGACGTTTGGATTCGGACCATCCCAAATAAACCTGTAGCCTGTAACAGATGTCTTGCCTGTAGAAATTAACCCCTGCAGATGAAGTGCAGAAAACAAAAGGGCCCAAACAAAAAAATTGGCGGTGAGTTCTCAAAAGGGACCAAAGCCGCAATTGATGCACCCAAAACCCATTAACCTCGGCGTCACCAACTGCTTTTGGGCCGCGATCCGTAGGCATCAGGCCTCCACCCACCCGCGCTTCCCCACGTCCAGTGCCGTGAAGACCTCCGCGCCGCGGCTCCTCGGAGGAAAGGACCTACTGGGTAAACGAAATCCGTTCGCACCACTTTGAAACCATGGGCTACCATTGTTTGCTGGTATTTACAGGGGAAGTCACCCCAGGGTTTTTTAGGTGGTGCAGGATTTTGTCCATCCACAGCATGGTCAGGGTGTTGACATTTTCAGGGTAATCTGTTGGGGTGGCTTTGAACAACAGGAGACCTAGGGTGTGCAAAAATCACGTCACCCATGTTGCGACATAGCCATGTTGGTTCAAGCTTGGCGGCTCTGCTTTTTTGCCTTGACCTTCCTTTTACCTTGAAGCCTGTTGCTTGTTTGAAAAGGACGCAACCACTGTTGTAGGTGGGCTTTGAAGTGCAGGCCAACAAAAATGGCTAGGACGTTCAAGTCGTAGGGAACGTAACTATGGCTGAATGGCCCTGTATCAATTCCAGAAAAGGATGGACAGTAAATTCAACCGCAATCCCTCACAGCAAGCAATAAACCAAAATACTTAACCCCTTTTTGCAAGGTGCATCAAGAAAATCCCAACCACAACCGTTGCCATTGTCTACTGTGCCCATTCTACGAAAACAGAGACACCCAGCCAAATTGTTCGTGTTTGATTTTCCAACAGGCGCACATACCTCGAAGCTTGAAGTGTCACAATGATGTGCTTCAAATGGGTCGCGTCTTTACCTTACAACTCCCAATCGACCGCTTGTCTCGTGTCCTGAGAGACACTCTCCGGCCTTGCCAAGGCCCTGACTTGGGATTAAAGGCCCAAAACATCAAATGGGCATAATGTTTCATTGGAAATGGACCTGGACATACTTGTTCATTGGGATTTGTGTCCAATAACCATTTTGAGGGTGTTGCAACCATGAAGAATCATACACCCAGTTGTTCATCTCCTGCCCTTGCTTGCCAAAACCCCTGAACACCCAGAGTCGGAATGTTGCCAAGCTGCTTGTCCGCCTGCAATTCACGCTCACTGCTGCACTTTGCGCTTGGGGAACCTCCCTCGAAATCTGGATGTGTCCTTGATTCAGGGCACTCTGTTTGGGGTCGCTTAAAAGGAAAGCGAGAGAGACTCTGGGAGGCCCATATCAATTTGAAGACAAGCCCATATGGGAATTTCCAACAAAGGGCTCTACAAATGGTGGTTTCCACTGATGTCGTTTGAACAATTGAGGATCACCCCGCTCTCCCCTTTTCTTGGATGATAGACCCTCACTCCATCTTCGGATTATTGTTGATCAGTTTTTTGTCAACTTGCCTTGCGGTGGCCGAGATTCTGCAATTGACAGTGGCCGGACAGGTTCGGCTTTGGCATCAGCCATCGCGGTCGACTCAATATAAACACTATGCTGGAAGTTAGGGCTCCGTCCCCCTGGTTTCTGGTCGAAATTTCGCGGCTTCCGCCGGTCAAGCCCAAAGGATGTGTTTGACTAAACCTCAGCCACGTGCCATCATGACCGGCCTCTGCTCCACGCATCTCTGCATGGACGTGGAGTCAGCTACTGCCTCTCTTTCTATTCGTCTTGCTCTTGCTACTGCTCCCGCAGCCTGGGGCTATAGCATTGCCTATGAATCCTGCTGAAGAAGTCTGGCTAGACGGATGGTCTGGAGCTGTTGACAATCATCTAGCGGCTCCGGCATCATGCTGTGGGCCCATAACTCACAAGTCGCTCCAAGCAAATGCACGAACTGCGAAGTCAAGCAATCAAATATCACCCATTTGTCTCTTCTTTGGACCCTTGTGAACTTGATGTCGGTTGTAGCATTCGGCAAGTGTTCGAAAGGTTGGATGGTGCCTTGACTTGATATGCACGCTCACACAAACTCGCATTGCGACACATGTCTTTGAGAAATACTCAGCTCTGGCACCTCGGGTAGCGATGTCTTCCATCCTTTTTCACCAGCGAAACTGCTTGCGAGCACGCGGAAAAAATAGATTCACAACTCCTTGCTGAGTGGGAAAGCCTGCTTCTCTCGATACGTCTCTTCTTCGCCAACCTGCCGGGATGGCTTGGCAGCGAAAGGCAAACTCCGAAGGAAAGGCAAACAAGAAATAAGACTTCTTGGCTTCCCTTCCAAACCCCAAAAAGCAGGCACCCCTTCAACAATTGCAGTTTGCCCTTCTTCTTCTTCTGCTTCTTCTTCTTCTTCGCAGCTCCAAACCGTCCTTGCCCTCCCTGGAAACAAAAACCGATGCGCCGCTCGCCTTTCAAAGCACTCCGAAAACGGCCGGCGGGGCTGCCTCGAAGCCCAGGCGCCGGTAGAAGCTCAGCGCGGCCTCGTTGCCAGCCTCCACCTGAGTCGATGAATCGATCGCGAGAGGCCGGGAAGGAGTTGCGGCCAAAGGCGGGCTCAGGGTTGGTCTTGGCTGGTTCATGGTTGTGGGTTGGTTTTGGGTTGGTTCAGGGTGGTTCATGGTTTGGGGTTGGTTCAGGGTGGTTCATGGTTTGGGGTTGGTTCAGGGTTGGCGTTGGCCAGGGTTTGAACCCACTAGGTGATGTTCTTTCCTGGGGTTTTTGACTCCCCCTAGGGCTCCCCTGTTCGCGGTGGGGATAACTTGCATCCCTCGAAGAGGGGAGCTAAAGGGGAAGTTGCCCGACAGATCTTCCAATCATGACAATAGCGCGTAGGACGTGTTACCTCTAGGTGCTACATGTTGCTCCTGGTGACCTACTGCACAAAAGAGTGGATCTTGCTGGGGTAGCGTTGCTCTCCAAATGGGTATCCAACGTTCTGTAAGGGTCGAAGTCTGGCCCAGGAAATCGTGTTTTGCTTTCGATTTTTTGTTTACTTTTAGTTTCTTTATGTCCTCCCTTTTAGAAGCCGTAGGGTCAAAACCCACATGACCACTTCCTAAAGAACGCCGCCCTTTCGATCCTGCAAACAACATGGAACCTAAAAAGGAGGGTTCTTTCATTAAACATATATTCAAATCGAAATGGTTTGTTGGGTACCATGTTATTTTGCATGACAGTACGTTTGAACCATTCTTTCAGGGCATCCTTCTTTTCAATTTTTTGAGAAACGAATGGGTGTTAGCAGAGCGGCGAGCGGGGGGTGAGTGGGTGGGGGGATCATCCTTTAACATTGTGGAAGCTGAGGCTTCAAAGGAACCCTAAAAGAGGAAAAAGTTAGAGAGGTCACTTCAGTCGCAAGCCTTTTGCTTTTGGAGGCTCCAAGCTCCCCTGCCACCCCCATCCCCCCCCCTCTCCCCCGGGCGCTTCGCCCAAGCGAGCCGCGTGCAGCCAAAGGCGGGCGGCCCCGCGGCGGCGCGCGCGCGCGGCGCACCAGCAGATGATCTGCGAGGCGATGCCCTTCCGCCGGCCGCTGGGCTTCACCACCAGGTTTTGCACCTGAGCGAGAAAAAAAACAAAAACAAGCCACCACCACCACCACCACCACCACCACCACCACCACCTCTAGGGGGTGATTCCTTGTCCATTCTTCTCAACCATCGTTCTCTTTTGGAAAACCGGCTGCTTCCCGTAGTGTTTGGTGGTTTTCTAGAAAGAAGGATCCCTGGAAAGAGGGGAAGCTGCCCTTTAGAGCCCTCCAAACGAAACAGTCAGGTGGCCATGGGTCAAAATCCCATACCCCCAGTGAACATCCCAATCCAACCACTAAAATAGGTTCTAAAACGGGTGGTGCACCCACCAATTCTAGGATTCTGGGGGCAGGGGCTGAAAAGCTGGGCTCGTGCCCATGATGCAGCATTCCGCGGTTGACCCCAAGTCAAGGGGGCAAAACTCCAAGAGAACAAACTACAGTTACAAAACACAACCAAAACATGAAAACAACCATAACCCCCAGGAAGCGTGCTGAGAAGGGTAGAAGCCTCTTGGCTCGGGTTGTTCCCAATTCACCCACTGAAGGCCCGTTCGCAAAGCTCTGATGAGTCTCGATAAAACGAGGAAAACCTGTCTGATTCTCATATATGCCAGTCTGCAAGTCTCGCAACACGTGGTCTTCCGCACGGACCCGCTAATCCTTGGAATTGAGTAAGTCCCTTTTCCCCCTGGAATTAATGCAGTTGTGGGGGTGGGGGTGGAGGGGAAGGCAGAGAAATGAGAAGAGGAGAGCTGAGGGAAGGAGAGGAGAGGAGGGGAGAGGAGAGCCAATACTGAGTGAGACACAGACGCCGCATCCGCCATATCAGCTTTGTTTGTGAGGACAGAGCAAGTCTGTATCCCCAAGTCCTCAACTGAGATAAAGCTTCCCGGCTGGGCGAGACAAAAAGCAGCGCGAACTGTATCCGCAAGTCCTTTTCAAGACGCGGACTTTCTAACCTGCTGCCACAGCCGGGGAGTCTGTATCTCAACGTGGGGATACAGACTTGCTCTGCCGCCCAATACGGCAGCCGCGGGCCTGTACCTCAATAGTCAACAGGGACCCTGTCGCCACATATCCATACTTTACTCGGCTGCAGCCAGCATGGCAGCTGGAAAGTCTGTTTGTCAAACAAAGATGTGGGGATACAGACTTGCTTGCAGCCACCCCCAAGTCCTTTTCTGGACGCCGACTTTCTAATCTGCTGCCACAGGCGGACAAAAAGAGATTTCAGACAAGGACTGCGGCTCACTTGGGTGACTTGTGTCACTTGGGGCAAGGCGGGGGCCAAGTCAAAACAAGCGAAATTGACCCAAGTGACCTAAGTGGCAGTTATCAACTCACGTTCCCACAAGCCCAAGTGACCTGAGTGGTAGATATTGAGTGGCTCTCGTCCGCGCTTGCCGGTTCACTCAATCACCACAAGCCATCTTCAACACCATCCAAAACGGAGCGGCTCTAAAATCTCTCGAACCACGGTAGAAAGTGGACTGAAAAGAGAACCAAAGGAACCTCGGACAATTCCTGTTCTTGCGTGTTGATCATCTTTTAACTTGGAGCACCCCTGCAAAACAACCCCACGAAAAGAATCAGGCGTGGCACGTAACCGTCCTTCTTCACCTGCGCCATGCCGATGACACCTTCTTGCGTTCTCGCAATGGCCGTCAGCGGAGCATTCGGCGAGAGGGCCGAGTACGCGCGCCTCGTGATACGGGAGATGAACGCCAATGCCGTTGGGGGACGCTCCTTGGACTTGTGCAGGCAATTTCCATATAAAAGGAAGGATAACAACACAATTCTGGGCTCCCTGTGATAACACCGTACTGTCACTCAGAGGAAACGCGCTTTAAGCTGTCCTTTCCAATGGTAATGATTGAAACCACAATTTAAGAGTAAAGATAGGAGCCCTAGGTTTTGAGAAGGCATGAAAGCCGAAGCGAGTTGACGTTCTCACGCTAACATAGCACGGTCAGTTTCCTCTCAAAGGAAGCTTACAGTGGGCCCATATTCGTGCGAGCGAGAGTAAATGTCCAACCGGTTGAACCATGGCAACATATGGCAGCAATGACGAAACAAGAAAGCTCTTGACTGCCGAGCTGCATCAGACCAAGGCCCAAGAAGGGGTTCGCATCACCATCCAGATTCTCCTGGTCACCCCTATTGTCTTTGTCCGTCAGCAACTCGGCTGCGCCCCAGACTTCGTCCATCCTCAGGACGCGCGTCCGCGGGAATTGGGGAGAGAACCCCCCAACTGCCAGACCATCATCATGGTTTCCGCCTGACATTGTAACTGTTGGCTTCCGGTAGGATCAAGCAGCTAATATGTGCTTCTTCATGTGTTTGTTTCTTCTTCTTCTTCTTCTTCTTCTTCTTCTTCTTCTTCTTCTTCTTCTTCTTCTTCTTCTTCTTCTTCTTCTTCTTTTTCTTCTTCTTCTTCTTCTTCTTGTTGTTCTTTTTCTTCTTCCTCCTCTTCCTCTTCTGCTTCTTCTTCTGTGTTCGCGTAGAGCTTTGAGGGGAATCAGAATTCACGCCAGGTTCCTGAAGCAACCATCCTGCGCTAACTATGGCAAGCAGGAGTCATTCCCTCATTCACTGAGAACCAGCAACAAAAAGAGTGGGTGCTTCAGCGGGGTCATGGTGGACTCAGTCCATTTTGCGAACAGACAAAGTGGCCATGACACGAGGCGGGGGCGGTCGGAGGCCTTCCCAAGTTGGTCCGGTCGCCGTTGCGTTGGTGGGTCCGATTGGTGGATTTGAACCCTTGGCTTTTGTCCAGCCAACTAAAGCCCCGCAAAGAAATCGCTCAGGACATGCGTCAAATGCAGGTCTGTTTCGTCGTGGTTGGTGCGTTTGGTGTTTCGTTTCAACATTTATTGGACTTCGCGTCCTCGTTGTGGCGCCGTTCCCTGTTGTTTCCCTGTTTTGGTCCTTCTTCTTCATTTTTTCTTGCTGTCCAAACCTTCCTCAGCAGGGCAGCTCTCAACGGCGTGCGTGCGGCGCTGGAGAGCTCCGTGACCTGCGTTCCACGTCCAGCTGACGTTCCGCTGGTCCAATCAGTCTAATGGTATTTGGTCCTGGTTGATGCTCGGTCAGAGAATTGCTGCAGTTTGCCCAATCTGCGCTATGAGCTGCTTGAACCAAGGTGAGCTGATACCCCTTCGCCAGGTGTCCCCTTGGCCTCCTTCACCTCGAAGCCGGCAACCTCCTCTGCGACCTCCAAGGCGCATGGGGCTGAACTGGCAACGGGAGCTTCAACTGATTCTTGTCGCGGGTTCCTTTGGGGTTGGGCTCGAGAGGTTTGAGGTCCCTGCAAAATGACGAGGGTTCGTGGAGTGGAGTGGGTTCCGGACTGGGTTGCCTGATCACGCAAGGAAGTTGGGTTTGCAAGCAGACTGGTCCTTTTGGGGCGGTTTGGCAAAAGCAGACTGGCTATGCCGGGGAATGCCTTCCCTTTGGTGGTCCTTTGTGGGGTGGCCCCTCTACGTCCTGTGCGTGGACCCCAAACAAATGCTGGTTCCCCTTCCTTTTCCAAACCATTCAAAAGCACATCCCTGGCTTCTCGCAATTGAGCAGTTCAAAAATCCAGCTTCTGGCCGTATCAGGAGTATGAAACATGTAGCAATCATGCTCAAGATTCCAAAGTCACCGCTGGCTAGCTGGTTCGATTGCCAAACCTGCCCCAACCCGATCTTACAGTACCAGGAATGCCGAATGGGTCTGTTGCTGCCACAAAAGGGTCAGTCGGCAAACGACACAGAACCGCACTAGCGCCGGAATCCCGCATAGGTGTCAGTGCCCACGCCGAGGAAAGCTAGGACAGCCGGCGCAGCTCTGCGGGGGCGTTGCGACTCCACCACCGCAGGTTCACCACTGCGTGCGGTGATGGCGGCTGCAAGCAGCTTCAACGTGCCCAGCCACCCCCGCAGGCTTCCACGACCAGGGGCAGAAACTGCAACCCCTCCGCTGCACAAGGAAGGCGCTTCCGCAGCCGCACGGGGCCCGCATCCAGTACAGCTATGCAGCGTGCATCACTGCCTCACCAAAGTACTGCCTGGAGCATGCGGTTTCTCCGCTTGCTACCCCCAAGCGGGTAAACTCCTGGCCCAGAGTCCAAGGGACCAAGAGACCCGGAAATTGGGACCCGAACCCACGCGCCCTTTGCCGCGGGCCTGGAAGCGCGCCGCCATCTCGGTCTCCCAGCCAGGGGACTCGCCTCAATCCCAGCATGAGGGCTGCCAGTGTCAAAATCCAGGGACCCCAAAAACACCGGCGGCGTCCTTTAAACCAAAGCCCGAAAAAAATAAACAAAAAAAGGAGAGAACAACAAGTGCCCTCAAAAAGTGCCCGAAAGAAAACAGAAACACGCAAACAGGTCCAGACATAGAGGGCGACTCTACTTCGGCAAATTAACATAGCGGACGACAGCTCGCGTGTCCATTTGGGTGTGTCTCCCTGAGCTTGGGCCCAGGAAGAGCAACACCACCCTTGGCCTCACAATTTTCCCGCGAACATGGCCGCAGAGACCCCTCCAAAGAGGCAAATGATCAGAGTCCACTAAATCGATATTCTCAAATTTTCAACTGCCTCTCCACTGGTTCACAGGGAAACCACCCCGCCGAACTCAACTCCGAGAACCCCAAATTTCCGTGACCTGGATACTTGGCCATGGGTCAAAATCCAAATCGTACCCCCAGTGAACATCCGATTCAATCCAACCACTAAAATTGGTTTTCTAAAATGGGTGAATTCACCTACCAAGCAAAATGGGATCCCAAAACGGTTTTGACCACAGCCACAAGAACTCACTCCCGGGGCAGTCGCGCCGCTGGAAGTCCTCTCGCGCCTTGCGGCGCAACTCCTGCCGGCTGTTTGGCGTCCCCAGTCAGGGCCGCCGAAAGCCCCCGCCAAGGCAAGGGGCGCGCCCTTTTTGAGGGTGGGTTCCGCCAACAAAAAGGTGAAAGCGCGCCCTTTCCACAAGGAAACTCGTGAATTCTAATAGGGGTCTACGGTCTGCGCACGTCGAGGTTTGTTGCTCGGGAGGATAAATTGCGAGAAGAAGAATCGGACTTCTCTGCACTGGGCATCGAAATCAGAGAAAAGAGGCTGGCAGGCGCTGAAGTTGCCACTGCAAGCGTGGCAAATGCATGATTTGCTGGAACTCTAGACGGGGTTGCATGCAACATACGGAGCCATGTTTACATCGGTTGAGACAAGAAGCTTTCGGAGACCTATGTCTGAGCTGCTTCAGCATCTGTTCAATGGAGCTACTTCGCAAGCAAAACCTTTACAAGCCCACGGCCGTGCACTCACCCCATGGTGTTCTGCCAATATTCAAATGACTGGAAAAGCCAGGGTTAGCCTGGAGTCCGAGGAAGTTTGCGTGGCATGCTTGAAGCGTGTGAGCAGGTAAGCCAAAACGATGTGAAGGACTTGCGCTCTCCCTGACACCTGTAGGTGGCCCGAGAAGTCTCTGAGCGGCAAAGTTCACACGCATTCACTGCAACAACATATGTCACATGACATTTGCCCACTCCCGCATTCATTCTTCCCGCCCGAATGGCCAAACCAGGCAAGCAGATTGGCAAATGCGAGGGATGAGAATCTGAGCGTGTGCCCAATTTCAGACCGGTCAGGCCCCAACGAAACTAAGAGAGACCCGAGTTGCGCACGCCAGCTGCCAGGTGACGCGGCCCCACTTTTTGCGCGAAGGCTCAATCTCGAGCATTCAGGCACCTGCAGTGAGTGAAACCTATTTACCACGTGCCAGGTGATCTTGTGACAAATGGACATGGGTCAAAATCCCCAGTGAGCATTCCAATCCCCACTAAAATAGACTAAAATGGAGGTGCACCTACCCCAAATGGTACCATTAGTTTTAACCCACAGCCAACTGAAAAAAAGGATGCGTGTTTTCTCCTCTGCGGAACCAGGGAAAACTACAATGACCAATTCAAGGCTCTTTCTGGCCAAAGGAAAGGAACTGATTTCAACCAAGGCCACGTTCATGGCATGCGTCCCCCTCAAAACAGGGGAAGATGGGATCCCAAAAAATATCAGCCTTCCCCCGAATGGGTTGTTTTGGTTCTGTGGTTTGGTTCGCTGGGTTGGCTTTCGTTGTCATGCAACTAGCGGCATCCTCCCGCTTTGTTTAGCAAGAACCCAAACCACCGTAGTGAGAAAATACATGCGGCACTCCAAGCGAATGCACAAGATACACAGAAACCATGAACAAAAGTGGCCAGCAGCTTAAGCAAGGAAGGTCCTCCCAGAGACACAATTACCACGTTCTCAGCGGGATTGTGGAATGACCCGGTCACATAGTTCAGAGGCATAGGGTTCGATTGCCATCAGGGCTCAAAGGAAAACCTAGAACAACTAGACCTGTTGTAGAACTCCACTTGTCAATCTACATTTGTTTGGGGGCACCGCAGAACCCTTTTTGAGGCAGATGGACACCCAAGACACGCTCGCAAAGAACGGGGAGGGGGGCGCTGCCATCACAAACCCATCACTCTGGGTGCCGCGCTTGCAGCTGGCCTTGCAGGTCCACTGGCCGTCCCTGCCCCTTGTCATGTTGTGCACCTCAAACGACCCCCGGCGATTCGCCCGCGCGGTTCTCAAAAGGTGGACCCCCTTTTGGATGGTGTTGAAGGAGAACCAAAAGGAAATACGCCATTTTGGGGTCACCCAATCCGAAAAAAACAACCAAATGTGCCAGTGAATTGGACTGAAATCAGGCCGACATCCAAAGCACTGATCCAGACCAAGTTTGAAAACTCTTGTTTGGTCAGGGGAAGGGATTCGACTGAGCTCAAAAGCTCCAAGCAAAACAAAACCAAATAGGCAGTGATCCAGCGCACCAAAAGCACAGATGAACAACCTCCCAGTCTACCACGCCACAAGAAAAAAGGTTGGACTGAGTTGCTCAACCATGGTTCCCAGAATCCATTGTCACCCATTCGCCGACCGGCCCTTTGAGAAAATCAACCCATAGCGGAATTTCTCGGATATGTATGGTCCGCATGAACCCGAATGTAAAACTAGCCTCGCGAATGTACCGCGTTCCTTGTGGTTTCGCAATCTATCAGGTGCCTTCGGACCTTGGGCAGGTTGAGCTCGAGAAACAGGGGCTATGGGCTTGTCTTTAAATGCGGTGAAGTCCCAAAAGAAATGATCGTTGTTTAGTACAAACTCCGAAACAGCCACCCTCGCAAAAAGACACGCCCGTCATGATCCCTTCAACAGGGGTAGCTTGATTCCCCCGTTCCGGAAGTCGGGGTACGCTCTTTCAAAGGGATGAACAATGGTGAGCCAGCCATTCTCCAAAAACAAAACAACCAAAGAGCAACGCGAGAAAA